TGCAAATGGCCAAGTAACCATAGAAACGTGTTAAATCTTAGGATTTGGACAATAAAAAAGCAAATATAGCATGAAATCGATCTCAAATTGCAAAAGATAATGATTATTGCATGAAAATACATATGAAATGAGGGCTATATAACACCAATTTTAGGTTCTATGAACTCCCCCCACACTTAAGCATCTTCTTGTCCCCAAGCAAATCTAATTCAAACTAGTACAACTTGCAAGACTTTCACAATGGCATGCATGGTAGATCGTCGGTCGAAGGTCAACTAGAAACTTTTGAAGTCAACCAGTTACATGGAATTCCACAGTCAATCTCTATGTGATAACACACTCCCTAATGATGACCTTGCCACTAAAGAGGTTTAGACACTTTGCATGTGCACTGGAGGACTCTGAAGAAAAACATATCAAAAGCAATGGAATCCATAGCGGTGCTCCTAGTTTTCAAAAAAGGACTCAAACTTTCGAGCCTTAACTTAATATTACCGCTCATAGCACCAAACTTAGCAAACAAAGCGTCTCTCCCTCATGGCTAAGAGCAAAAGTACACTGAATTCTCTATCTCAGCCTCATGTGGGGAAAGTGAGGGTTGAGCTGATGGAATAGCGAATAAGATGAAGCGTTGGACGTGAGTCCTATCTCTCAAGCACCAATTCCCAGCATGCACTACCGTCTCAAAAATAGACGGGTTGTAACACATGTGAGGTACAAACGAGAGTTGAGGTCTCTCGACTTGCGCAAAGACGCACTATCTCCTCTCAAAAAAGTCATGTGAGGAGGAGAGGTGTTTGGGGGATGGAATGTAGAACATGATGTCAGTTGGATGTTAGATAGTTGTCTGATCCCTAAACAGATCCTCAAATGCCACTCCCGGCCAAGAGAGAAGCCCTTTGACGGTTAAACTCAAACACTATGCTCGGTTTCCTCTCACGTGAGAACACTCATTTTGAAATGGATCGGAGCACCTTTTGCAAAAAAAAAAAAAAAAAAAAACAACAAACAAAATTTGGAGTCCAAAATTGGAGAGAGTCCCACACATATGTCCTAACCTCGATAGTGACAGTATCAAGACATCCAAGTATGAAATCTTAGGCTAAATCCCTAACTTCCAACATCCTCCGTAGCGCTACACTATCCTCCCTATAATGCACAACATCACAATCATCTAACAATTTAAAGTACACTGAGTAGGAATAATGCAAATGATCCAACTTGGAGCCCCCAATTTTTTATTTTTTTTTGGGGGTATACATACAAGGCTCAAAGTGGTTAAAATCAGGCAATCATCATCCTTCACCATCATCACACAAGACAAGCAAAAAATCCAATCCATTCAAAATTTTCGAACTTCAAGCATATGGATACATGAAAGCATTTATAAACATATATACTAAACACCCCCCCCCCCCCCCACACACACACACACACACATATTTAAACCACAAATTGTCCGCAAGGTGTACAAGACTCGATATAAGTGAGTAGAAACAATTTTACCATTTTAATCAATCGGTGAAGATGGTGAAGGGAGTTGGATGAAGGTTCATATAAGCTCATGGAAGTGGTGTAAGAAATCAAGTTAAGGGAAAAGAAATCAAAGTGAGGTTAAGTTGCCTCTCAACAAGCTCTTCTGTACCGTTATAAGCTAGACAGTTGTCTTTAAGTTTTGGTCCATCCCAAGACCTCCTTGAAACTAAGTTTCTCGTCGGTGATGTGTAGTCTCAAGTCCTGAGCAATTGGTGAGACCATGATTGATGTCTCGTGGATTTGATTGTTCTTGAGGCTCCACCGTCGGAATTTCTCCTTTCCTTCTTGCTTTTCTTTACCCTAAATCATGTGGTGTAGCATCGATTGACCGCCATTGTGTCCACCAAGAGGGACTGCTAGTGTGGCCTCGGTTTAGCAAAGAGGCTTGGAAAATGGATCCATGTCCGGCAAGGAGTTTCTCAAGTTTGTGTGTTCATTAGTTCGACTCATTCACATACACCACAACCTCGATCACTCCTTGTAATCCAATCACCTCGTGAACCTCCTCTCTCTTCTTCAATGATGTCTTCCCCATGTTGAGAGTCGAGTTCCACCTTTTCTTTTTCTCTTCTTCCTCCATAACCTCATAATTTCTCCTTTATATATATATCCATTTCTTTGATTAGGAGCTATGATGTTTCTCCAAGCAAGTTCTCCACTAGATGGATCTTCAAGGTCCACTTGCTTCTCCACCTTCAAGACTTCTTCCTCTTCTACCACTTTCTCTCCCTCTTCATTGATGATGTTTAAGGGGCACTCTTGATTGAGTCTCAAGCAAGTTGTTAAGATATTTCTTCTTTTTTTTTCCGACCTTCTAACCATCTCTTCTTGTTCAAAGAGAAAGTATTGAATAGAAGGGTCAGGACCTCCTAGGGTTGAAGGTTTCCCTTTGGTCGCCACCTGTTTTAGCCACCCTTCCTCTCAATAGTCGTCTTTGGTGTGAAAGCAACACGGAGGAAGGCTAGGATCAGTAGCATCGAGACACTCCACTGGGATATTGTTCATGAGCATGGAGAAGTGGTTGTTATTGAAACCAGGATCCTTGTCCTTCATTTCTCCTGGAAGTCCCGAGGTAACCCAATTCGGTAGATGGTTGATGCCCCTATGCTTGGTTGAAGTCCTGGGGATCCATGTTCCAATAGCTAGAAACACCAAAAATACTAAAAAGAAAATCAAACTAACACAAACCACCCTTCATGGGAAGAGTGGTGTAATAAAGCACAAAAAGAAATACAATACAAGACCTACAAACTCAAAGAACAAACACAAATACAACTAAAACACTTGAACAAAAACAAAAGCAAAACACAAGACTAAACTAGTAGATCTAAATCTTTTATAATAACCTAGAGGGTCCCCGACAATGACGCCATTTACTTTATTTGCGTTCCAGACCAAGCTCTAAAAATTGGTTCATGCTCTCTATCTACCCAACCTAGGAGAAGTATATCCTAAGTTGGCGAAGTAGTAAAGTGGTCACCGAGTTCGTATTCCCAAGGGCCCTCTAGATATATTACTACTCTAGACTCAACCTACTATCTAGTCAAACGAGATGGTTGATAGTTTAAGTGTGAACAAACAAAGAAACAAAACTAAAAGTGAGAAAGATCACAAGAGATAGAATGTTGCTTAGGTTGAATCTTTCTAGCTACATGTTGATACGAGCAAAAACAAATGGCATTTTGAGGTGAGGAGGTCCTAAGATGGGGATTTGCTCAATGGTCATGCAACCGACCCATCCCCCCTTCCAGATGTGTCCACCTATCCAATGTCACTACAACCAGTTTTCACGACTAGAGGTAAGTCCTACATCCTCTAAATGAATTTCATCAATCCACACACAACTCGGGTAAGTCAATGATCATGCACATCTACACCCTAATTAGAAGTATTAAGCACTCTAATCAAACAAAATCATAACATAGATTCATATGTAAGATAATAAGGGCTTCGCTATCATCTAAGTTGCAACTAGATGGAAAATGGAACATAGACAATCCCACACTAATTGGCGTATGCTCTAATCTTCACCTAAGTGGATGTTTATTTGACAAAGGTAAAAAAAAAAAAAAAAGCAATGATCACTCACACTAAAGCAAGAGATTGACATGAATTAATATCAAATAGACATAGAAATATAGGTTCATAATCATCATTACTCATGACCCATAGGTCAAAGTTCGTAGCATAGAGTTCACGACCGTGAACTTTGACAAGAAGTTGTAAACTTTTGATGGAAAGGGAAAGTTCGCAACCTCGACCCAAGATTTCGCGGCCGTGAACTTTGAAATGAGGCAGCAAAATCTTAAGGAAGGGGAAGTTCACAACCTTTGAACAAGAGTTCTTCACAGAGAACTCTTTTCGTCAGGTGGTGAACTCATGGGGAAGTTCGTAGCGTTGAAAAAAAGTTTGCAACCGCGATCTTTTTGTCGCTCCCATGAACATTTCTAGCGTTCCAGCTCGTCGTGGTCGCGTGGCGGGTTAGAAGACCTTCTGTACTCGTCGTGGACGTCCTCTCGAATTTCGCAGGATGGGGAGAAGTTTCCGGCCATGAACTTTGGCAGGTCTTGTTCTCCACCTTCTTCTCACCCCTCAAACGACCTCTGATTGGCATGAAACTTGTCGTTCCTCTTCTCCATCATACTAGGACCTTATATTTAGGAAGAAAATGCAACCTAGGCTAGATAAGGATGATAATGAACAAGATTCATGCCAAATTCCCAAGTAATGATAGAAACATGCTAAATCTTAGGATTTTGACAATAGGAAGCAAATATAGCACAAAATCGATCTCAATTGGCAAAAAATAATGATTATTGCATGAAAACACTTATGGAATGAAGACTAAGTAACACTAATTTTAGGTGTTGTCATTTATACTTATTTATGTACTTAATTAATTCAGACTGGTTGAACGAGCAGAAAGACTATTCAAAGCAGACACTGGAAAGGATTTTGAGTTTAAGCATTGTTGGAATATACTCCAACATTCTCCAAAGTTTATGCAACGATTTTATGCCATGTAGCACTCATTTCACCCATTGAGAGATCAACATCATCCAAGCCATCCGGCCATAGTGATAACCCCGACGTTTAAACGAGTGCGACTCCTTTTGTATCAACCGTGCGAGAGGTTGAGATAAGCAAAAAAGAAGAAAAGTGGAACTCCATATTCTTCCACCTTAAGTTGGGATAAGACTATTGCCAGTTTGGTTGACAATTCAAACACGCATTCAAGGTTAGCACTCGATAGGGAGAAGTACAGACTTGAGAGAGAGGCAAGGCAGATGAATGTGTATGAGATTGCAATAAAGAGCATGGATCTTTCTCAATGCAATCCTCGGTATAAAGCTAGGTATAAGAGGAAAAGATGAAATTGTAGCTTCCTATCAAGTTGCTCCGAATTAAACTACGGGAGGAACCTCCTATAGTCAGAATGACGACTTTTATTATAACCGCGACAAGTAATCTTTTTAAGTGTATTGTGATGTGCATTTCATGTAGTAGTCATACATGTTAAAAAAGAGTTCCAATAAATATATTCCTACGGCAAGAGTTTGGGCATTGATCAGTACAAGTTGCTAGCCATTGTTCTAGATACTATATAATATGACCGTGTGATTTATGTTGAATTGCAAGATCACCTTGTTGCTACGCTCTATGAACTTGTCTTCTTCGCTTGTGGAACTTCTGTTGCATTTGCCACGTGGCTGACTTATGGATTGCACGTGAATATGCCATCTTCTTCAAGCTCTGCAAGGGGCAAGGGTCATGTTTGTCATACTCATAAGTTTGGTTAATTCCTTTCGACTTTCCTTCATGCTGTGCATTTTATCAACTGCACTAATGCTACCCTACCTAATGTTGCACGACTGCTGGTGCCTAATGTTTGATGCAGCTGAATCACTACGAGTATAGAACTACAGATTGGATTGACACGTGTGCATTATTGACGAAATTATTATCGTGTTTGATTCAACAATCGTTAACACACGAATAATAAATGTGATTCTACATTGGCGCATAGTCGAATTCATCAACAAAATGTTTCGATATTTGGTTTAAGTGGGAATAGGCTAAGAAAATAACCAGTAACCTTCTCACGAGTCACGACAGTATTGGAAAATCTTGTCGTTGCTCAATGGAGGTATGGAGTGGCATAAATGGAGAAAGATGGAGGTGATTTTTACTCCCGTTGGGAAGAAGAGAAAGGCGCACATAGAAGGAAAACCGATAGACAAAGAAAAACAAAAAGTTGGGAGGAGGAAAAGCAAAACAGGAAAAGTTCGGGTAGTAATGATTATTTCTTCTCCATTACAGGGAATTTTCCCCATCTTTCTTCCTCCTCTCCTTGTCCCCTTCTCCCTTACAGTAGATTCCCCCTCTTACCTTTCCAGCTCCCCATTGATTTTTTTTTTTTTTTTTACAGAGAAACAGCCTCCCAAATTACCACCCAATCATTCCCGCACGCAGAATTATCATACAAATTCAATCTTTCCTTTCGTGCTTCCTTCTTCCCCGCAAAATCCATTTTCGTCATTTCCACCACCCTCCCACGTGAACGGTTAACCCTCTCTCATGATTCATGGTTCCCCCACAATTTCCCAAACCAGTAGCTTCTTCTTCTGGATGATCATGTCGTTGATCACGACAATGATGATAAATATCATTCATTCTTTACAGATTACTCCGAATTCTCCCTCTCTTGTGTACGGTTTGATCAGTTCCACGGATCGGGGGCGGCGGCGGGGCAGTACCAGTGGTCGTGGAGGCTGGGCGCTTGCTCGTCGGAGAAGAAGTTGCAGGCGGCCTCCTCCTCGCTGCTGAAGAAGTTGTACTCCTCCAGCTTCACCAGCTGCTGCTGCTGGTGCGTTTGGTAAGACTTCGCCGAGAATTGCGGGAAAAAGTTGTTGGGCGGTGGCGGCGGGGAAGGAATTACCAGCGTGTGGTTCTGGAGGACGCCGATGGAGGAGGAGGAAGACGAGGTGATCGCCGGCGGGTTCATCGGGCTGTAGTAGTTGTTCTCTTCGTTCAGCACTGCACTGGAGTCGCTGTCCGACGATCCGTCCTTGTTGAACTCCGTGAAGAGCAGCGCCGGCGGTTCTTCCTCTTCCTCGTAGTAGTTAGGCACGATTTCCGTCACCGGATGACGACCGAATTGATGGGGAGTATCGTCTTCCTCTTCCGCAGTGAGCTTATTATCATCGTCGTCCGATTCCGGCAACACGCCCTCTTCCTCTTTCACCGACAGATTGCTGCCGTCGGCGGCGTCGTTTGCCTCCTCGTTCAGCTCCGCCTTCAGCTCTTTAATCTGCAGCCAAACACAAACAACCAAAAAAAACTCGATTAACATCAAAATTCAACCAGATCCGTGTATGTTGAAGATCTAATCGGTAACTAGTTGGAAAAAAAAAATTTACCTGTTTGAGGAGAGCTTCATTGTCGCGGTGGAGGGAATCGTAATTGAGCTTAAGAGCATCGTAATTAGCCTTGAGCACGCCATAGTCACGCTCCAATTGCTTGGTTTTCCACCGAGCGCGGCGGTTCTGAAACCAAACCGCCACCTGCCGCGGCTGCAGCCCGAGCTCCTGAGCCAGCTTGACTTTCCTCTCCGGCTCCAGCTTGTTCTCCACCTCGAAGTTCTTCTCCAACGCCTTCACCTGATCTACGCTCAGCCGCCGCTTCTTCTCTCCCATACACCCGCCGCCGCCGCCGGATTCCTCGCCGCCATACACATCCTCCTGATCTAGCCCCTCCAACATCACGCAGCCGCTGTACACATGCTGCTGCTGCTTCTCGTCTTCAAATCCCAACAAAAAAAAAAAAGAGAAGACAATTCAATATACAATTTACACATTTTCTGATGAACGGAATCAAGAGTCAAAGAAACGCCATTAATGATGACACGTCCAAATCACGCAGAGCAGGGACTGGAAGGAAGCTAAGGGTAGTGGCACATCAAAATCAGCATCTAAAGTTGAGAGAGGATATAGAAAGCGAAAATGGAAACCAAAATAAGAAAGGAAGAAGACACAAGAAATCCACATGGGTATGTCTGAGAACATTAAGACATGAGAATAGAAATAAACCATTAATACCGAAAAGACTTGGGCGAAACAGAATTATTGCTGTGGTCTAACTCTCTACAGTAACAGCAGTACTGGTAAATCTTAATAATAAAGAAGGTAAGGTGAAGGGTTTTGAAAGAAACCTGCTGTAGCGGAAACCAGAGCTCCAAGAGAGTCGGTGCTCTCCAGTGATCTCTTCATTTTTTTTCCTTTTTCGTCGTGAATTGTGGATTATGTTGTCCAGATCGCAGAAATAGATCTCAAAATTTCCCTCTAGTAACAGAGTGTTAGAAGGAAGACCGCTGGAATTCCTGTTAACGAGTGTTTTGTTTTGATCTGGTTTTGATAACGATTTATGACAAGGCAAGAATAGAGAAGGCTGGGGAAGAGGAACGTTTCACTTCAGTTGTGGGAAGAAGCCATTGACGGTCTCCTTCTATCTTCACTCTTTGTTCTTCCTCCCATTCCCGCATCACAACCTTAATCACTGTTACCTCCTGATCCTCCCCTTCGCCCATGAAAAGAAACACCCAAAACCCAAGAAGCAAAAAGAGAGATCGAAGTTAAAGTTGCGACACCCGATTACTGCTACTACAGCTAAACGAAACGGGGAATCTGCAGGCAACGATCATCTTTTGTACACCAGAGTTCAAAGTTGAAAGCAGGAGACGAAAGAGAAGAGAAAGATGGGGAGAAGGAACGGGATGGGAAAGGAGGAGAGGAGAGAGTGAAGTAGTAGTAGTACACAGAAAACCCAGCTGGCCACTCACAAGAAGGGTTCTCTCTGTGGTATAAATAAACCAAACTTGAGTCAGATGCGTGGGTTACATTCTTACTCGGGTTAGGTTTGATTTTTTTGACGGGATGAGAGAGAGAGTTGGGTTTTCAGAGAGAGGGGAGGAAATGAAATGAAGCCGAAATTCAGTGTAAATGAACATAATTTATTTGGTTCTTTCTTCCAGTTTCTAACCGGCTGTACCCGGTTTTTTCTGACCGTTTTCATATGGATGACAGACAGATGCATATATCTAATATATCTTTATATATTTTTATGAAAAAGATATATTATATTTGCTGGAAAGGGACACGTAATGCAGTGATGTAGCGTACGGCTCGGCCCTTATTGGCTGGCTCGGCTTGGGCCAGGATGGAGCTGAGACTCAGACCCAGAAGACTGGGGCCGCGTGCTCTTCCCTCGCTTCGGGATTTGATCCGCGCGTCAGCGTATCATGGCCCCCGCGGCGGTACCACCATATTTGATTTGGGACTTTGGGGTCGGTGCGACGATCAGTCGGCGATCCCGATCGCCGCCGCCTCTCACCGCCGTATCGCAACATTGCGACATTGATTCCCTAAACCGATTATGGAATACAAAATGAAATATGATGTTTGTAGTTTAGTCTCGATTTCGGAAATTTATTTGTTTAAAAATAAACTAGCCTCTATTTAACAGCGGGAATTGTCTCATCGTCACATGATGTAGTCTAGAATTCCTAATTTGGATCGAAGTTTCTCATCATCCGATGATATAGTCTTGAATTCCAAATTTATTAGATCAAAGTTGGAAATTGAAAAACAAAATAACATCCTTATGAATAAGTGGACAACTCGGTTGGCAATTACGAATGAGAATGAGATGAAGAAAATTTGTGTTTTGTTGTACCGGAGATAGGAAGTGAGGGGAGCAGATCCGGTGAGTAACCTTGTGGTGAGTAATTATGAGTAACCCGTTTACATCAGCATGACATCAGCATCCTTTCTCTCCTGGAAAACCTTTAATTTTCCCCTCTTTAATCTTTGACGGACGATTTCTCACTCATTTTAAGTCGAAATTTAATTTTTTTTGCACAGTTATATCAGATTAAGTGTGCTCTTCAAAATGATATACACTTTAATATATTTTTCGAACAAAAAAAATTGAGCCATTTTTTACCAGTCTATACCATATGGTATTGACTGGTATTGAAATAAAAGCATCCTATGGTTTGAAAAAAGTACCATGGTGGTATGAACAAACCAAAACTGTAGGATGGTTGAATACATGATAGTAGAAATATATTAATTGTCATTTACGACTTTCAACATTGTATACCACAAGATACCACCCCGTACTAGGGTGGTATTGTATGGTATTGTGTTGTATTTTTTGGTCCTGTAATTTGTTCACCCATAAGTTTGTAGATCCAACAGATCATGATGAACTCGTCCCTTCTGTGCAAACGTTTTCAAAAACGAATTAAAAACGAAGAAGATACCATACAATACCACCTCGTACCAGGGTGGTATTGTATGGTATTGTGTGGTATTTTTTGGTCTTGTAATTTGTTCACCCAGAAATTTGTAGATCCAATAGATCATGATGAACTCGTCCCTTCTGTGCAAACGTTTTCAAAAACGAATTAAAAATGAAGAAAATACCATATGGTGTGCAGTTGGTACCAAGAGGCCAGAATTTTTGTTCTAAAAAAATATTGAAAATTGATCTCATTTTGTAGAGCACGATGAACTCGTTCCACCTGTGCAAAAAAAATTAAAATCCGAGTTAAAGCGAAAAAGATATGAGCCGATTAAGAAAGCTAGAGAAAATAAAAATGATCTTTAATTCTCCATCCTTAGATCTGGATTTTCTAAATGAAGGGTCCAGATTTGGTTATTGATGGATGCATAACCCATGGTTATGCACCCTATCTTGAGCCGGAAGTGAGTACATAGAAACTGGGGTAAGTCACGATATGATTCTTGACCTGATACGCACATCAATCCCACACAAGGACCAATTGGGGCCTCAATAGATGATGGACTACAAAAGGAAAACAGATGTTATTAGTTTAGTCTCGATTTCGAAAATTATTAATTTAAAAATAAATTGGGATATTTGTCCTTTTTAATGTTGGGTAAATGACACAAATATTATGTTTTTTGGTAGGTTAAAAGCTTCCACGCCCCGAGACTCAGGCACTGGCGCAATTTTTGTTTTTTTACAACAACTTGACAGCGCGCCCGCCCGAGACTCAGGCGCTGGCGCTATTTGAAAGTTTTCGAAAACTTAAATAGTGCCAACGCTCGCTCCCTTCCTTTTTCTTCTTATCTTCTTCCTCACTCGCCGTCGCTTCCTCACCACACACCACAACCCGCAGTCGAGAGTCCCTCACTCCCAATCGAACGCCGACAGCGACGGTAGCTCCGAGAAAAAAGGAGGGCCACGCCTCAGTCCCAGGCGGCCGCGCCAGCTTCCCAACGAAGGCGCCTCGTCCAGAGCGGCGTCGCTCTCTTCTTCCCCGCACAGATCTGGTCTTTTCTCCCCTCGAGCAGCCATGTCCGACGACGAGCAGGCTGACCCCGGCAGAGGAAGGAGCAGAAGGCGGCGAGGGCGTCGTGGCGGTGGCGGCGACCGCTACAGGGGTAAGTTTGGCGGTGGCCGGATTCTCGCCGCCGGCGACAAGTTTTTTTTAATTTTTTTATGTTCTAATTAATTTTTTTTTCAGTTCCTAGGCTTATGGACCCTTGTTTGATGAGACCACCACCTGCGACAATTGATACAACTCCAGTGGATCCGGAACTTCTTTGGGCGCATGGTCACCATCAATGCAGTTAATAGCGCGATTCTACCTAGAAGCGGGAAATGGGTAAAATCGTAAAACGTAGAATCAAAGCGTAAAAGCGTAAGTTTTTGACGCACCCTCTAAAATAGCTAAAATATGTTAAGTACAACATATAGTATGTAAAATGCGAATGCGTAGATTTTAGATAAGTGAATAACTACATGAAATTCATAATTAAAATGTAATATCTAACACATAAACTAATTTGTGTTGACTCAAAAGTAGAGAAAACTCATAACATCTTAATTAACAAGCTCATAAACATAGATCGCAACACGTTAACGAGCTTGAGAATCCAAATTCTCATAAGCTGGTTTGAGTTTACATAATTACATACGATCAATTACCCATAAACTTTTATCGTAATCCAGGTAAGAGCCACAGGTGAAGATTAAGGGAGAAGACTGATAGAAGGTCAACGACTGTTGAGAATACCATTAGGTGTCTTTTCAACCTAATGTGATGCCCATATCTCGACACTAGTTGTAGAATGAGTGATGAATCATGTTTTCCTTTTTTATTTTTTGTTGATATGCCTCCAAAATTACATCATTTTTGGGCCAATTAGCACATTTTTATGAGATTATCAAAATCGTATAAAAACGCTCAGAATCGCGATTTTACCGATTTTAAGCGATTTTACCCATGTTTTTACCAGTTTTTGTGACTAAGCGACTTTAGGTAGAAATTGAAACGTTTTGGTGGCCTGAATACGTAAAAACGTAAGTTTTTACGTTTTAATGCTCGATTTTGACTGCACTGGTCACCATCTTATTGACGCAGTTTGGGCAAACGAGGTAAGTTTTTAAACTGTTTCTATAGTTTTTTATTAGCTGAACTCAACTGAAAATAGAATAGAATTAAATTAAATTACGAATATAATTAAATTAAATTACGAATAGAACTAAATTAAATTACGAATAGATCTTAATTAAATTAAATTACGAATAAAATTAAATAAAATTATGAATATTAAATTACGAATAGAATTAGATTAAACTACGAGTAGAATTAGAATAAGTTTAGTCTAGATATATAAATATAAATATTAGGTGAATTGAATTAATATAAGTTTTGTGCATTATAGGCTGGTGATCAACCGTACCACATTCGTCATACGAGCAATTTAGTGCGATACCATCCACTTTACCAGCCATATCTCGTCGATGCGGGTTTGTTTAGTGTTCTGCCACTAGCCCCTCTTACTGGTGATCCGGGTTTGGTTACTGCGCTCGTAGAACGTTGGCGACTCGAGACATCGACCTTCCACATGCCGTTCGGTAAGGTGACGATCACCCTAGAGGACGTTGCGACACTGACCGGTCTAACGATCGGCGGTGATGCCTTCGTAGTAGACATACCAGACCAGGACTGGTCGGCTATGTGTCTTCGACTCTTAGGACGGGATCCTACTGATCTTGGCGGCGGTGTCATTAGGATTGCTTGGCTCAGGGGACTTTAGATGAGCTACCGCTTTCTACATCACCCGAGACTACAGAGCAGTTTGCACGAGCTTATGTGCTGTCTCTTATGCACAGAACACTCAGGACGCAGTGACACGTGGCCTTCGATGGCTTCTGGCCCACACCTGTCAGCATGGAGATCAGTTCTACCTGTACAAGCTGTGGTTTGACGAGTGCACGACATTCGTGGTTACTATATAACATTTCGTTTTATAGAATAGTTTTAATTGATTTGTTATAGATTTAGGAGTAATTATGTGACCAATCCTTGTGTGCAGTGGCGTCCGTACTTTGATAGAGGTAAGGACTACAGTGGTACTATGATCCAGTCCGACACGTTTTGAGCAGTAGTTCCACTGATCTGCTTCTCATCCCAGATATGACATCATCCAGATCGCGTGCTCGGAAAGTTTGGGATGATTCAGGACCGTCCTCATCCTCCACATTCCGCGGCTGAGATTAGGTTTTTCCTTCGTCAGGGCCAGCATGGGCCATCACGTGGCCAACAGTTCATACAGGCAACCAGAGAGTCGATTGAGTTGTGGAACCGTCGACATGAGTTCATCGCGCGGACGAGCTACACTGACGTACCTTTAGCTTACCACTCGGAGCATCGAGAGTGGTATCGAGATGTCACTAGACGTTTAGGCACACGGAGAGTTGTTGCACTGGACGCAGAGGTGAGTTTTTTATTAATTCATATTTGTGTTTTAATTATTTTTAGATGTGTAGAATTTCTGATATTTTACATTTAATTTGCCGTACGACTGCATGGAGTTCGTTGAGATCGGTTAACATGATGGAATTCGAGTTGGAGGGATGTCCACTGACCGGATGGAGGAGTTGGCTGACCAGTTGGCTGCAGGGTTTACAACTTTAGGATTTAGTGATCGTCGGCATCCTGATCCTACAGAGCCGATACAGCGGTATCCTAATGAGCGC